TGAGAATTGTGTTTTCATGAATGGAACTATTTTCACTTTCTAAAGATGACACTGTGTTTGAAAAATTGAAAGTAACTGTCCTCACTTAAAAGTAAAAAAATAAAAATCATCCTTCAAATTGCTGAATTTCTACAACTGCTTGAAAACCGAAGCTCTTCAGCACCAAGGCTCCTTTTGCACACATCAGCATTAGACTCACTCGAGTCACGGTCTCTTTGTGTGGAAACAGCCTTGGTCAGGTGACCACATGGCCACATGGGCAGTGTGCTTATGGCCAGTGAGCTCCAGTTCACTGAGTTCATAGAATACACTTCTATCTTGTAATTGGGCTACTACACACATCATCTGCCTGGGTTTTGCAAGCCTTTTGATATATTTTTCCTTCTCTAGAATTTCCTGCCTAGTTCACCAATTGATCAATAATGAACAAAAAGATCTCATTGCATTTCCTCCTTTGGTTTTGTTTCTGTTTATTTACTGTGGACAATATGGACTTAACTAAAGATGTTTTACAATGTCATTGTCATCTCTCTCTTTTTTTTTTGTCCTATAGATCTTCATTGTAGGAGAACATTGCTATCATATGATCTTCAAAATTATGTGCATACTGACATATTTATCTTTCAATCTGCATTAATAATTTCACGTAACAACTTCTTAGTGCTGCAGCTGAATATTTATAAACTGCATACAAACAGACACAAAAACTAGCTAAGTTAGCTCATAACCCCCTTACTAGTGCTTGGTACATCTTGGGTTCTGAGGTAGTCACTGAACATTTAGAGAGGAAGGACATTAAATTCACTTACATTGTCAATAATCATTAGACCTCTTTACAGAATAGTCTTGGATTTTCTTTTGTTTCATGTCTACACATTTTTCTCTCATAGTATTGTGTTTCTCATGAAGGTGGTGCAAAACGCTGCGTGTGCTTGGGGAGGGGGAAATCTGAGGAAAGACATTGTATGTCAACACTGGTATTTTTATATGTCTAGAAACAGAGAGCTGTTTAAAAAACTACTTGCTATTTCTGATAAAACCTCAAGTAGCTGGTTTTAGGGGATGAATTGGGATTTGTGGTTACAGAAACCTTAATCCAGTTTTGTAGTAGAAAATGTGACTTCATCAATTTGACCACTGCCATTTATCTCTTCAGAGGTTATCAGCATTCTTGAAAAGCCTAAACTATAATACAATGGCTCTAATTTTATTCAGTTTCTAGTGTCAGTGCATTCTTGTTCTTTGTTGCAGGAGGATGTTTCTAAAATACATTAATATGTAAAATGAAAGCTCTGCCTGTTGTAACTCTGGCTGATATCTTGCTTTTAGCCACAGGGAGTAGCATTTCCTTCAGTCTCTCCAGTTGAGAGCTGTGACTCTTAGGAGGCTGTTTTTGGAGTTTTTCTGACCTATTCACCACCAATCCCTTCCTGGTTGAAGGTAGTTAGGATCAGACATCCTCAACATTAAAATTTCCCAAGGACTGCTTATAATATTCTATTTTGAATGAGATACCGGGTGGTACTTTTTTTGGGAATCCCTTTTTAAAAATGTATCTCTCATCTTGGATAATAATAGCATTATTATGTATTTGGTAGGTGACTGTCAATCCAAAAATATTACTACTTGACATGGAGGAAATTACATTGGTGTGTTGACTTTACCAGTGTGTTTTAATGTAATTTGCTTACAAAAGTTCTGAATTCTGAAGAAAATTTCCCAAATGGCCAAGAGATTCATTGATAACAAATATCAATTTATATTAGAAATATAATAACTAAGAGACATAAAATATTCAGGTTCTCAATTCATAGCATTCTTTCCTTTGAGTGGTAGAAGAGATGACATATAATGGCCAGTTTAAAAACACAGCCACTATTTTAACTGAAAAATGAATACAGTAAAAGACACATTGTCTTTCATACTCCTTCCTCAACTTAAGCATGGTTCCATCATCCTTGCCACCTTCTGCAACATGTCTTCTGCATGGGTGTTTTACAAGCTACGATAAAATTATGGGGAATGCTGCCTCCTTATGCCATCCAAGGGAGAGCAGACTCGGGAAGACGTGTTGTGTCCTCATCCATCTTATTCATCTGACCTGGCACTATACAACTGCTGGCTCTTCCCCAAAGCCTAAGTGATCAAAAGGTAAACATTCTGTACCAGTACAGGACAGCAAGGCAGCCACGGCAGGGCAACTAAAGATATACATGAAAGAGGACTTCTGTATCTGATTCAGAGAGTGACAGAATGTGTGTTTAAACCAAGGGGAAGAATTTTGAGGAGAGTCAATGGCAAAGTGTTTTTCTTTAAAATGTATTTATACAGAGTCTACAGGGTCTTACTATGCAGCTCAGACTCATAGTGATCCTCCTGTTTTCAGCATCCCAAGTGCTGAGATTATAGGTGCATGCCACCGTACCCAGTCTCAATTGCCATCTCAGCACTCACTGGGGACAGGGGCCATAACAGCATGCTGGGGGTTAAACCCTGGTCCCTGTATCTGCCTAAGCAGGCACTTTAATCCACTGAGCTATCTGGCAGGACCTTGGCAAATGTGTTTTTACTGAAACAACTTTATTTGAGATAGGGTCTTTGTGTGTGTGTGTGTGTGTGTGTGTGTGTGTGTGTGTACACACTTGTGCGTGTGTACTGGTGATTAAACTCAGAACCTTGCACTTGCCACACAGGCATTTATGGTGCTGAGCTATCTCTCATGCCTTTTCTCTAACAATTTTTTATGCATTTAAATACATATCATATTTTTTTTTATCACATCTTGTATATTGAGGGCTATAATTTCCATGGAAACCAAAATGAAAAACATTTGTATCTGATAGTAATTCTATCGACTTCACTACTGGAGTCCACACCAGTTTAACCAACAATTATCAGGGAGTTTCTCAAGGAAATATGCCAAGTCAATCAACAACTGTACCTAAAGATGAATCTAGTTCACTGTAGGAAGATAAAAATAATGGAATAACCAATGACAATTTTATGTGGCAAATACTAACATATTCCTAATTGTTAATAACTTATTGTTCATTTTAGAACCATAAGAGTTGCCCTATTTTGGCTCAGCAAGCTATGTTTGAGGGCCGGCCAGGCAACACAGCAATTAAAGCGCCTGCTTAGGCAGATGCAGGGGCTGGGGTTTGATCCCTGGCTTGCCATGCCAGCCCCGCCTCCAGGGTCACACTGAGACTGTGATTGAGACTGGGTGTGGTGGCCTGCACTTGTAATCCCAGGGGTTGGGAAGCTGAAAAACAGGGAGGATCACTATGAGTGTGATCAGTGTGGTGAGACCCTGTAGACCCTTTACTAAATACATAAGTTAATAATAATAATAATAAAAGTCATATTTGACAAAATTTAGTTATAGCCAATGATTTTCTGGTACCTACCTTTTGTAAAAACAAACCAAAATGTATGAATTAGAGCAGTTTATAATTTATGAATTTTCCTTATATAATTTATTCCTAAAATTTACCTAGTTTTTTTATCATTTACATCTAATTTCACCTACAATTTAGCAATTAGCTGCCTCCAAATCCACAAATATTTAATCATCTTCTTAAAAGACTGTATAAGAACAACACTAGCAGTTTTTCAAGTAGTTGAACTTTAGGTCTAAAGTTGGACTAGGCTTCTATTGAGGTTTTCAATAGATCCAAGAAACATTAATAAACTACCTCTTATGGAATTGTACTTTGTAGATAGCTATCATTGTCTATACTGAACCTTGATATTAGTTCACAGTGATTGCTTATTATCATCTCTTAATATCATCCACAGGAAAAGTAACAGACAGAAGTAAGCCATAGGAATAATTCGGTGGAGAAAAATACATCCTAGAAGGAAGTTATATACCAGGACATTAGGTAAAACACACTAAAGAAATAGTATATAAGAAACGGAATGCAAAGAACAGAGTGATGAAGACATATGTTAATTTTTCCAAATAGACATTTAACATGCATGTAACAAGAGGTACTATTTGGCCAAGTGAGAGTAGTTGGGATTAACTCTGCCTTCTGTGCCCATCTTTTGAAATCAGGCAATTCCTCGGACCACCTTTCACAGAAGGAATGTATGTGAACCTTGTAGTATCAATTTTTTATTCTCCATTTAAACTTCAGCTTCCAATCTCAAAAACAGTATTATTTATAAATGTTCTAGAGACAGTAGCCACCAGTAGCCTAGGCACCCTGCCCATATTACTGTAGATTTGTAATTATGAGTTGTGTTCAGAGGAAGTCTAGAAACTACCCACATTTTCTCACTAAGTTCTTAGAGTGAAGAAATGAAGAGGTAGCAGGTTTCTGTATATAGGAAGATTAGGAGAATTATTTGAAAGACTTGTCAAAAGGAGATGGAATCTGGTATAATGAGCCTGACCCTGGAATTAAAACAAGAGTTGGTTGTTCCTTGTAGCTCTAAAAATGGTACAAGACTCTCATAAGTCTTTGCCATAGTGTGTGTTCTGGGATGAACTTATAAGGAGCTGCTTCACTAGGTTTCTTTTTAAGCACATTGGTGTCTAAGAGGTAATACTGTGGGGTCTCTCTAACACTCTTTGGTATTTTCTAACTTATACCAGCTCCTTTAGAAATGAGCTTCTGGGTTCATTTCTATGTGATTAGATTTCATCTTCAAAACTCAAGTCACAGCATTGTATCATTACAATCTGAACTGGGAATGTCCTCAAGAGTAAGAGGTCAAGTTCATTTCTAATTTCTACGGAAATTTTCCCATCATTGTCCATGACCTTGTGGCTGGAAAGTTTGAATTTTGCTAAGAGCTATGAACATGGAATAGCTTTAATTAAAGAAAAAGATAGTCAATAATTGTTGGCTTGACATTTATAAGACAATAATTCGGGTAAAATTATATTCCATGAGAGAAATGGAAAGTTCTCTTATGCTATTACCAGAATCTGAGAATAAAATTAATTTAACTTTAAATAAATCTTCACAAAGTTATAACAAACATACCGGGCAGCTTCTGAATATCTCTCCAGACATCTAAACACTGTTGCTTGACGAAGATGGTTTCGGAAATAGGCCGGGTTTAAAGCAATGCTCCTATAAAAGATTAAAGAAATGCAAATGTTATTAGGCTTTTAAAAGACAATTACCAGAAGTGTATAGGAATGAAATCACATGCATTCAGTTTTATATGCTATTTCAAAAGATACTAATGAATGAAGCCCTTTATTTCTTCCTGTAATTGTCAGTTAAGGCAAATAAACAAGCATTATTAAAAAAAGGAATTCAGACTGCATCATAAAAGCAACTTTATAATACTGGTATCTTTTATAGATCTGATCATGACAAAGGATTTAAAACCAACTTGGATATGAGACGTGGTACTATTTTATTTGCTGGTGTTAATAAAGCAGGCAAAACCCATAGGATATGTATGTCTATTTTTAATGGAAGAAAAGATCATTAACTCCTGAATTTCAGTTAAAAGACAAGAACTACGATTTGGTTGACACGCACATTTGAATTCCCTAATTAGGCTACGTGTTTTCCCCCAGCTGGATTATGAAGTGTCATGGAAGAAGCTCTGTACAATAGGATAGAACAGCTGGTCTTGGTTGTGCCCATTTGGGTAAGGGCTTTTTTTTGAGCCTCCTCTGTGTCTTGACTAAAATCATAAGGTTTGCCTTGTAGATAAGATGATGTATCCATCTTTCTCTGCAGATGCTTCCTGACTCCTGGAGTTCTGGTGTCTGTTCAAATCCAGACTAGAAGGTACTCCCTCTCTGCTATCTTCTTCCCCTGGAAATGAACAGGTAGACATCCCTTCCTTGCTTTCTGAGAGCGTATTCAGGGTGGGCATTGTTCCTGGCATTTCATGTGATGAGAAGAACTAGACAACCACAGTCCATATTTCATTATCAGATGGAAATTGGGGTATACCACCAGCGAAAATTTGAGTGTAGCCTCTACTATGCTTATTGATATGAGATTCCAAAAGTTACCAAATCTACACAGGGTTGCTAAATAACACATTGTGCTCCAGTTTTTACAAGCTGATGAGAATCATTTGAAATTAGTTCATTATTGAAGTGGTTCTTAGTCTTTTTTATTTTTTATTTTTGAGATGTGCATGCAGGTTTTTGAGAATCAGACTATGAATTTCTATGTAAAAAATGCCTGAAAATTCAATTGTCTAATTTTAGGAAACTTATATGATTCCTTCAAGGCTATTTATGAACTCTAGGTTAAAAACATGTAGACTAAAATAATTCTATTCCCTGAAACACTGCTTCTCAAGAAGCAAAAGTGAGGAAAAGCATCTCCCTCTCCCAAAAGAAATGCAGAATAATATGATGATGAGTCAGATTAATTATATAATTTAGTTCAATTTAAACACAAACAGACAGGTTAAGACAACCTTCTAAAAGCATACATGCCAAGTTGAAGATATGTTTTAAGTTTGTGTTACAAGTTGGTCAGGCACTCTCTACAAACATCTCTAACCATAGATGTATAACTTGCAGTGTATTGTACATTGTTGCCTTTCCTATGAGGACTTCTGAATTAGGAGGGAATAAGTTAATTAGGTTTTTCTTTATTCTATTATTAATGATTTGTGCAAAAAATTCCCATTATTCCTTTGAAAAATAGGTCATTTGCTTTGGTGAATTTTGACTAAGATGTTGGGGATTTAAAAACTACCACATGGAGTCATTTGATATCAAGTAAATATAAAACTATCAATATCTGCCACTCCCATATTTTATTATTTTGGAAAAAAGTGTGTTTCCAAAACATATTCATATATTTGGCCCCTGTAAAACCAATCTTACAAAAGCAAGCCAGAGTACTTAAGAGCAGAGTTCTGTGGGAGGCCTTGGTTTTCCAATTTGGTCCAGAATTTTGTCTTCCATTTCTTGATTTGCTCTCTTCTCTTGTTTTATAATCATTTGTTCAATTAAGAAAATTTAGTATGCATCTATAAACATGATAGGGTTAAGTCCTTAATGAAGAGATATTTCTAGACCTGTACATTTCTTTGCCCATGATGTAGCATTCTGGCTTTGCTAAGCTATTGTGCAGGCCAGATCTTTTGCCAAAAGGGGATTTAAGTTGGAGAAAAGAGTGAGGCACTGAGAACAGAATAGCAATTTTACACAATGGAGTATTATTCAGTTATACAAAGGATAAATTTGAAGTCTTTATCAATTAAGTGGATGCAGCTAGAGCCCATATTCTTAAGTGAAATAAATCAAATCCACATGTGCAAACATCATATTAGCTTCTTAGCGTGAGAATCTGAAAGAGAAAATAAAATCTGAAGAATACAATAGATACTGGGAAAAGGTAAAGAACCTGTTCAAGAGAAAGGAATTACTCAGTTGAAGAGAAGGACAGAAGAGGGCGTGAGGGAAAGAGACATATCTATGTATGTAAGTGGGATGGTTTGGATAACTGCATTTTTGCTGTTCTGTAGTTAATCTTTAATTTGTTGTATGGTCTTTTTTCAAATCTTTTTTCTTTTTCTTTCTTCTTACTTTCTTATTTTTCTGTTTACTTTCCTGTATTTAGTACAAGGTCTACAGGGTCTCACCACACAGATCAGACTCCTGGTGATCCTCCTGTTTTCAGCCTCCCACGTGCTGGGATTACAGGCCGGCATCATCACGCCCAGTCTCAATCACTGTCTCAGTGCTTCCCGGGGCTGGGGCCAGCATGACATGCTGGGGATTGAACCCCAGTCCCTAGGCCTGCCTAAGCAGCACTTTAGTCTGCTGAACTATCTGGTTGGCCCTCTTACTTTCTTGTATATATATTTCTTCTTTCTCCTTCTAGTTTTGCACGTGTCTCAGTTACCTTTATCTCATTGCTGGAACAAATACCTGCTACTCAATATTAGGGAAGGAAAGGTTTATTTATCTCATAGTTACTGGATATTTCAGTCCATACCCAGCTAGCTGCAAGACAGAGTAGCACATGGCAGAGAGCAACCTTCCATGGCCTGGCTGTGGCAAAGAGCAAAAGAGAAGGAAGTGGAGCAGCTCAGCCAGCTAGTTAGCATTTCATACTTCCTTTTACTAGCATTTGTGTCCATGAGTTTGAGGCCAGTCTAACATATA